ATTTACAAAGACAATATCATGGACAGCACAATAAGGACAACAGTGACGTCGCCCGTTATGGCGCAGCCGGGGCACCACCCTGGAGCCAGGCCTGGGGTCGGGGCTCACAAGCGAGCGCCTGGTGGCCGGGCCTTTTCCCACAGGGCCCGGCTGGGCTCAGCCCGAAGGGATGACGTGGGCAGTCCCTCCTGTCAACCCACCACCTGCAGAGGGGTCCGTGGTGGCGCGGTGCAGAGAGGACTGGGCGGCAGTCAAAGGCGGAGACCTCGGCGACCCAGTCCGCACACACAACATCTGGGTCTAGGGACGTGGAACGTCACCTCACTGGGGGGGACGGAGCCCGAGCTCGTGAGGGAGGTTGAGCGATACCGACTAGAGATAGTCGGCCTCACCTCCACACACAGCTTGGGCTCTGGAACCCAACTCCTACTTTTCTGGTGTTTCCCGCGGGGAGAGGCGGCGAGTGGGGCCATTCTCATTGCCCCCCATCTCGGATGAGAGGGTCGCGTCCCTCCGCCTCCAGGTGGGGGACAAGTCTCTCACTGTTGTGACGGCCTACGGGCCTAACGGCAGTGCAGAGTACCCGGCCTTCTTGGAGTCCTTGGGAGGTGTACTGGACAGTGCACCGCCCGGAGACTCCGTTATTCTCCTGGGGGACTTCAACGCCCATGTGGGAAATGCCAGTGACACTTGGAGAGGGGTGATTGGGAAGAACGGCCCCCCTGATCTGAACCCGAGCGGTGTTCAGTTGTTGGACTTCTGTGCTAGTCACGGTTTATCACGAACACCATGTTCGAGCACAAGGGTGTCCACCAGTGCACGTAGCACCAGGACACCCTAGGCCGGAGGTCGATGATCAACTTTGTTGTCGTATCATCTGACCTTCGACCGCGTGTCTCGGGTGAAGAGAGGGGCGGAGCTGTCAACCGATCACCACCTGATCGTGAGTTGGATCCGCTGGCAGGGGAGGAAGCCGGTCAGACCTGGCAGACCCAGGGCGTGTAGTGAGGGTCTGCTGGGAACGTCTCGCTGAGCCCCCTGTCAGACGGACTTTCAACTCACACCTCCGGGAGAGCTTCTTCCAGGTCCCGGCGGAGGAGGGGGACATTGAGTCCGAGTGGACCATGTTCTCTTCCTCTATCGCCGATGCAGCGGCCCTTAGCTGTGGTCGCAAGGTCTCTGGTGCTGGTCCCGGCGGCAACCCCCGAACCTGGTGGTGGACACTGGCAGTAAGGGATCCTGTCAGGCTGAAGAAGGAGTCCTATCGAGCCATGATGGTTTGTGGGATCTCTGAGGCAGCTGTCCAGTACCGGCAGGCCAAGCGCGCCGCGGCCCGGGCAGTTGCAGAGGCAAAAACCCGGGACTGGGAGGAGTTCGGAGAGTCCATGGAGCATGACTATCGGTCGGCCTCGAAGAGATTCTGGCAAACCATCCGGCGCCTCAGGAGGGGGAAGCAGTGCTTTGTCAACACCGTGTACGGTGCGGGTGGAGAGCTGCTGACCTCGACTGGGGATATTGTCGGGCGGTGGAAGGAATACTTCGAGGTTCTCCTCAATCCCCCCGTCACGTCCTCCGTCCCGGAGGCAGAGGCTGAGGATGTTGGGGCGGATACTATCTCCCTGGCAGAGGTCACCAAGGTGGTTCGCAGCCTCCATGGTGGCAAGGCGCCGGGAGTGGATGAGATCCGTCCTGACTATCTTAAATCTCTGGATGTTGTGGGACTGTCTTGGCTGACACGTCTCAGCAGCATCGCGTGGCGATCAGGGGCGGTGCCAATGGAGTGGCAGACCGGGGTGGTGGTCCCTCTCTACAAGAAGGGGGACCGGAGGGTGTGTTCCAATTATTGTGGGATCACACTCCTCAGCGTCCCCGGTAAGGTCTACTCCAAGGTACTGGAGAGGAGGCTACGGCCGATGGTCGAATCTCGGATACAGGAGGAGCAGTGTGGTTTTCGTCCTGGTCGCGGAACACTGGACCAGCTCTATACTCTCCATCGGATACTCGAGGGTTCATGGAGTTTGCCCAACCTGTCCACATGTGCTTTGTGGATTTGGAGAAGGCGTTCGACTGTGTTCACCGGGGTGTCCTTTGGGGGGTTCTCCGTGAGTACGGGGTCTGGGATCCTCTGCTGAGGGCCGTCCAGTCCCTGTATGACCGGAGCCAGAGCTGTGTTCGCATTGCCGGCAGTAAGTCAGACCTGTTCCCGGTGCATGTTGGCCTCTGCCAGGGCTGCCCTTTGTCACAGAATTTCTAGGCGCAGCCAGGGGCCGGAGGGGGTCCGGTTCGGGGACCTAAGGATTTCATCCCTGCTTTTTGCGCACGTCTCTCTCGGGCTTCATTGAGGTAGGAAGTTAGCAGTGTCCGTCAATATACAGTCTGGGGTTGAGGGACACAAGAAGTGGATTAAGAAAATAATAATAGTGTCTTACTGTATTATGCATGTATAGTTTATTTCAAAAACAGAAGAAATTCCTCTCCTCCCTCTAGTGGCAGCAGAGGGAGTTACAAGCAGAAAGCATTATTGCCCTTCATAAGTGTTTCTCCATGTTTTCAAAATGCAATATCAATTCACATTCTAAAGCATCAGTAAATAGTCTCATTATCAGTTTAATGGACAAAATAAATTGGTACGTAGTAGTAAATCTTTATTCCAGATTCAAAGGTCTGTATAAAAGACAATACAAAAAACCTTCCATTTCCTACCATGAAACACTTGTACTCTCAATGCTAGCTCGCCATTCCGCAGATCAGACCCATTCAAACCACTCCGGTGACTTCTCCCATCACACACAATGTAAATGAACCAGACTCTCTTCAAACATCAGGTGTGACCAGTGTAATAAAAGTCACGATCATTTCTTTTTGTGCGATCCCATTAGCCCAGACGACTGCTTCTGAGCCGAGCTAACGCCGAATGACCCCCGGACGACGTCACAGACCGGAGAGGGGCTGCGAGCAATGAATCAAAGCTGAACGAGATTAAAAAATGCTAGAGAGACAGATAAAGCTTTGATTGGTGTTTCTGGTCGATTCATACCAGAGGAGACCAGAGACTTTCACAGTGTCTGACCTCGTTCTACAGAGGCAGGCCCGGACTGGCCATCGGGAGCATCGGGAGATCTCCCGGTGGCCTGCGTGTCAAAGTGGCCTGGGCCTGCCCTATCATCACGGTCTTTTTTTTTTTTTTTTTTTTTTTTTTTATTTAATTTCATCCTCACGGTCTTTGCAAACTCCTACCCTGCCTGGTGGCCTGGTCCAATGAGCAAGGCCCAGGCCAAAGCCAGTGTTGTGCGTGAACGAGTTCAAAAGAACGCGTTCATTGAACACGCTCATTTTTTTGTGAACGTTGAACTGAACGCAACACATTTTTTAATAATGAAAAAGTTTATATTATGTGTCATGAACGGCAGACAATTTGTTTTCCATTTAAAACTGAGTGAAATCTGTTTTCTCTGTTGAAACGCAACAAGAGAAAGTTCCTCCCTCATGTATTCTCCGCACTGTTTCCGCCGAAAACTAAAAATTCCTACGGTTTCCACCGTCTGTGAACGCACCCCGACTCAGTGTACTTGCGGTGCGGCGCTATATGCTAGTGCTATTCATTGGTTGTTGGACTCACATGTGCCGTGATGAAAACACAGGGGTAAGTCAGTGACACAGGGCCGTTTACATTTGACATAAAGTATAGACACACGTTCTGCAGCGCATTACAGTTTGTACTTATGAGCAGAGATGGGACAACTCAGTTCCCATTGAAACCCATGTAAATCTTGTCTGCATTGGAGTCAAAACATCCTGTGCAGTGTACAGGATATAATATATAATTATATATTGTAAGGCTGAATAAGATGTTCATAACCATAGAGTAATAATAAATAAAGTTTTGTATTTTAATTTAATTTTTCATAGCCTAGGTCAGGTCCGTGTATGCAGCTCAACATAACGTTTCACTATCACAAGATGTTTGTTGTCAGACTACTGTTGCTAGGTGATGGCCCACGTATGGACACTGCTCAACCGCTGTCCATACCCGAGCCAGAAGCCGCAACACAGTGTGTTATCCTGACTGATCACTAACAGCTGTTTTTGTACATACTTTTTACTTGAACTCATTAAAGTTCACATAAGAAGATTCCTTGTCGTGTGTCTCCTAACCCACGCACCACCACCACCATCACCAACGGAAGGTAAAGCACGACAACTGGTGTCAGAAGTGGGATCTTGCAGTACTCGTATGTGATTTCAACCGAAAAGACTGTATCCAGGCGTATCCTGAGCTAAACAACAACTTAAAGCTAAGCTACAAATCGCCGCGGCAGTGTGTGAAAAGAGAAATAAGTACGTGCGGAGGAAAACAACAGTCAAGCTGCAACAGCATTGCCGCGCAACTTCCGGTCCATCGTTTCAAAATAAAAGCGCAACAGGAAGTAACAAAAAAATAAATAAAATAGGAATTGGAAATGAATGAGGAATTACAAGGCGCTACGGCAGGCCCTCCAGACGCAGAAACAGCCCCCAAATGGTTACAAACTGTGTTGGAAAATCAAAATCAACAAACAAGACACCTCCAGATGATGTTGGCCCCTGTCCTTTCACACATAACGGGACAGTCAGCTACACAGCAAAACCCATCACCACTCACTACTGCTGGAGGAGGTGAAGGGCTTTTCTCAAAGCATTCTACAAGAGAAAGACATACACCTGAGGAAAGTACGACTTTTGATATGACACCTAGACCAAGAGATTGTACTCCCTTTGCAGCTGAACTGGAGGTCATAAATCAAAGGTCGCGGAGTTCAGGTCCATCAAGGCGGACTATAACTCCTGAACCTGACAGCAGACGCAGAGAGGGAGACTCTGAGCGTGAAGCCCAACACTCGCTTGCCTACCATGATGTGAGGAGGATGAATAATTCTGGAACCTATCACAACACACTACCAGAACCTCAGAGACCTAAGCTACCTACATTTGATGGAAATGAGGATTGGGACTCTTTTCTGATGCCGTTCGAACGTCAAGCTAGAAAATACGGATGGAGCGCCATGGAAAGAGTGGACAGGCTACATGAGTGTTTGAGAGGAGCTGCAGTGCGGTATGTCTGTTCATTACCAGAACGTACAAGGGAAGATTATGTCCTCCTGGTCGAGCAACTCACTCAACGTTTTGGGAAAAAAGACCCCCCAACCACAATAAGAAGAAAGATAGGGGAGCTCCGGCAAGCACGAGAGACATCAGCTGAGTTTGCAGAGGAGGTGAGACGCCTTATCACACTTGCTTATCCAGGGGTGGATCTCCAGCTGCAAGACCAACTAGCAACTGATGCTTTCCTCAAGGGATTACGAAACCAAAAGGTGGCTTATGAAGTCATGAATCGTGACCCAGGCTCCTTCGTTGAGGCCCAAAAGTTTGTGGAGGCCCATGAACATAACTTCAAAGCCACCGTGGGCCGTGACACTGAAGTTAAGAACAGAGCAAGACGCATCTCATGGGTTGATGAAGGAGACTTATGTGAGGATACTGCTACAATGTCCCGCAGAGTCCAGACCCCCCAGTATGTTACGGCTGACCAGTTTGCTGCACTAATGGACCAAGTGAAAACCCTTGTTAACACAGTGGGGAGCCTACAGTTGCAGGTTGAGACACTCCAGTCCACAAACACCGGACCCCACCGACCCAAAGCAGCCCAAAGCTCTTTACCAGAAAGAAAACAAAACTATCAGGCACAACCCAACAGAGGTCGCTCTCAATCACCAAGCCCAAATCGTGGGGCAGCTGGTCCATGCTTTAGATGTGGAGAAACAGGACATTTCCGAAAGGACTGTGCTAGGCCGCCCAGCCCTGTGGCTGCACGTAGCGATGGTGACAAGCATAAAGACTACTTGCTGCAGTCCGATAGAACCCCTAACCTGGATCACCAATTACAAGGCCGTCAGATTGGCTGCACCAAGAAAAGAGGTGAGAGTTTACAAATTCCTCTGACAATAAACGGCATCCCAACGCAAGCTGTAGCCGACACTGGAGCTCAAACAACTGTGATATCGGAGGAGCTGTACCAAAGTATCCTAAAGAGCAACACAGCAACTACAGATCTACACCAAACCTACTTACTGAATGCAGGAGTTGGAGATGGCATGAAAGCTAGACATGGACTCACAGTGACTTTTCAAATTGGACCCAAGTCTATTAACTGGGAAGTACATGTAGCCCCAATAAGAGACTCTGTCCTCCTCGGATTGGATCTGATGAAAGCCCATGATGTTGTCATCTATACCCGTGGCAAGGTTTTCATCGGAGGTGAACTTGTGCCCTCAAAAATTGTTCAAGATAATGGATCAGACTATTGTGTGGCGAGAGTGACACTCACAGAAAACACCATTATACCAGCCACCTCTGAATGTGTTGTGTGGGGTGAAGTGGAGGACCCAAGACCAGGGGTCACAGCTGTGCTAGAGCCTTTAAACATTACAGACAATGTAGCCTCTGGTAGTGTAGTTGTCACTATGGAAAAAAGGGTGCCAATCAGGGTGTGTAATTTCTCAATCAAGAGAATGGCCCTACCAAAAGGAGCATGTCTCGGAGTCCTCGTCGAAGTTCATCCCGAACCCCCATGTCAGTCAAAGCAAAGTACAGTACCTCGCTATACAGATGACAGTGGTCCATCGCTGCTGGTTGGGAGAATAGCAACAGCCTTTGACATTCCCGAACACCTCCATGGCCTGGTCGCTGCTACAAGTGAGGCTCTCAATGAGGAACAACAACAGCGGTTCATTCAGCTACTGCTCACATACCAATCCGTCTTTGCCAAAAATGACTCTGACCTTGGTTACATGTCCGTTGTTACGCACAAGATCGACACTGGATTATCTAGGCCTGTACGCCAGCCTGTGAGAAGAACTCCTCTGGGATTTCAAGGTGAAGAGGAGGCACATCTTAAAGCCATGCTGGAAGAGGGTGTAATCACACCATCGGCATCCGAATGGGCCTCTCCAGTGGTCCTAGTACGCAAAAAGGACGGGGGAGTGAGGTGGTGTGTAGATTATCGCAGTCTGAACAGTCTAACCATTAAAGACGCTTATCCACTACCCCAGATTGAAGAGTGCCTAGATGTTATTGGTGGAGCTTCAATGTTCTCTACCCTCGATCTTCAGTCTGGTTACTGGCAGATTGCAGTGGATAGCAAGGATCGTGAGAAGACGGCTTTCATCACCAAATGGGGCCTTTATGAATATACCAGAATGCCATTTGGACTCTGTAACGCCCCGAGTACGTTTCAGAGAGCGATGGAGCTCGTCCTCAGAGGGCTTCAGTGGGAAACCCTTCTCATCTATCTTGATGACGTCATTGTCATTGGCAATGGGGTGGACCAGAGCTTGGATCGGCTTGAGCAGGTTTTCCAGAGGTTCCAGAGCTATGGACTAAAACTAAAGCCATCAAAATGTCACCTGTTACAAGAAGAAGTTCTCTTCCTTGGACACATTGTGAGTGGCAACAGAGTTGGACCAAATCCTGCTCTTGTCAAAGATGTACAGCAATGGAACCCCCCCAACAACCTACAAGAGCTGCAGGCCTTCCTTGGGCTATGTAACTATTATCGCAAGTTTGTCCCAAGTTTTGCAGAGCTGGCAAGCCCCCTCCATAATCTTCTCAAAAAGGGAACAGTGTTTCAATGGACTGACGAGCACCAAGCTGCTTTTACTATGCTCAAAGAAAAGCTGACCACCGCACCTGTGTTGGGGTATCCCCGTACTGAAGGAAAGTTCATTCTGGATACAGACGCCTCAAACAACAGTGTCGGAGCAGTCCTGTCGCAGATCCAGTGGGGAGAAGAGAGAGTTCTGACCTATGCCAGTAGCCACCTGTCCCCAGCTCAACAAAGGTACTGCGTCACTCGTCGTGAATTACTCGCTGTTGTTCGCTTCACACGCCAGTTCCGCCACTATCTACTGGGCAGGAAGTTCCTACTACGGACCGACCATGGCAGTCTCACCTGGCTTTTCCGTTTCAAGTGCCCTGAAGGACAGCTAGCTCGTTGGCTGGAAGAGTTGAGCCAATATGACTTCCACATTGAGCATCGGGCTGGTAAGCAGCATGCTAATGCAGATGCCCTATCAAGGCTGCCAAACAACATGGACAAATGTGACTGTTACCAGGCAGGGATAAATCTGTCAGATCTGCCATGCAAAGGGTGCAGGTATTGCTGGAAAGTTCATGAACAGTGGGCCAAGTTCGAAGAAGATGTGGATGATGTTGTGCCACTAGCAGTAAGGTGCATTGAGCCCCAAGGCAACGCAAATGTTGATGGCACTCAGTCGGTTGAGAGTCAGCCATCTGCACCTTTGCCAGAGACCCCCGAAGTCAACTGGCTTGAGTCCCTTAGTCCCGAGCAGCTGGCAACATTGCAGAAAGCAGATTCTGTTCTCGCTACTCTTCATACATGGAAGGAAACAGGGACACTCCCCACCAAAGATGAAGTAATGCTGGAGGGCCCTGCTGTAAGAAAGTTCTGGCTATGTTGGCCCCAAGTCACATTAAGACAAGGAGTCCTCTATTACTCCTGGGACAGAATTGGAGACCAGCACCCAACTCAGCTGCTATTAGTTCCATCGTCCATGCAGAAAGAAATCCTACAGTCATGCCACAATCCTCCATACTCTGGTCACCTGGGAGAAGCCAAAACCCTACAGCGTGTGCGGCAAAGCTACCACTGGTATGGAATGGGCAGAGATGTTCAGCTGTTTGTCAAGAGGTGCCCACACTGCAGTGCATGCAAAACTGCCGGACCAACAAAAAGGGCAAAGTTGCAAAGTTACCAAGTTGGAGCACCCATGGACCGCGTGCACCTTGATATCCTCGGCCCATTTCCAGTATCCAGCTCTGGTAATAAGTACATTCTTGTCATTATCGATCAGTTCACGAGGTGGGTTGAAGCTTTTCCAGTCCCTGACCAAGGTGCTGAAACGACTGCAAGAAAGCTAGTCTATGACTTTGTCGCCAAGTTTGGAACCCCCCTCGAGTTACACACAGATCAAGGCCGTAATTTCGAGAGTTTGTTGTTTCGAAATGTGTGCAAACTTCTGCAAATTACCAAGACCAGGACTACGCCCTACCACCCCTCCTCTAATGGACAGGTAGAACGGTTTAATAGGACCTTGCTGCAGATGCTTCGATGTTATGTGAACCGGAACCAAAAGAACTGGGACGAGCAGTTGCCACTACTTACTGCAGCTTACCGCAGCTCACGGCACGCAGTGACAGGGTTCACACCCAACCGACTTATGCTTGGCAGAGAGGTCCACCAACCGCAAGATATCCAGTCTGGTAGCGCAAAACTCAGTGCCGACCCATTGAAAGAAGCAGATTTCCTCTACAATCTGGAAGAAGGTTTGAAAGAGGTACACAGCCTAGCAAGAGACCATCTCCGCACTGCACAAGAGAGACAGAAAAAAGTGCATGACCTACGAGCAAGAGAACACTCCTACAGTGTTGGAGACCTGGTGTTTGTTAAAGATGACACCAAAAAGAAAGGACTAAGCCCAAAGCTCCAAGCACCATGGAAAGGCCCCCTGATTGTTGCAGCACGACGTGGTCCTGTACTCTACGAGATTCAAGGTCCCAAGCGCAGTACAGTAATGCATCATGATAGACTCAAGCCCTATGACAGTGAAGTGATACCAGTCTGGGTTTCACGTCAAAGAAGCAAATTGCTGCAGCAGTGCCGAGATCCAGACATCCAGTCACATGAAGAGGACATTCCACTGGTGCCAGTGCTACCGCTGCCAGATGATCCATGTCCTGCCAAGGGTCCGGGTGAGGCGTTCCAATCCAAGGGTCCAGGCGAGGCATCCCAGTCCAGTGATCCAGGGTGCCAACCAGGAAGAAGACAAGGCGATACAAACTCTTCAGATAAGACTGTTAAAACATCTAGAGGTCGCATTGTCAATATGCCAGAGAGATTCGGATATTAGTTATGAGTTATATTAAGCTAAAGTCTGTGAGCTAACAGTTAGATGTTTATACTGATCTAAGGAAAATTATTTGTGTTGTGTTACACTTAGGACAAGCTCTTTCAGTTACTTGCGTTTAGTTATTGTAGTTACCTAATTTCTAGAAGGTTTTCCCTACGTTACCTGCACTGAAGGGACTCAGTACTCTTAAAAGGGGGGGTAGTGTAAGGCTGAATAAGATGTTCATAACCATAGAGTAATAATAAATAAAGTTTTGTATTTTAATTTAATTTTTCATAGCCTAGGTCAGGTCCGTGTATGCAGCTCAACATAACGTTTCACTATCACAAGATGTTTGTTGTCAGACTACTGTTGCTAGGTGATGGCCCACGTATGGACACTGCTCAACCGCTGTCCATACCCGAGCCAGAAGCCGCAACACAGTGTGTTATCCTGACTGATCACTAACAGCTGTTTTTGTACATACTTTTTACTTGAACTCATTAAAGTTCACATAAGAAGATTCCTTGTCGTGTGTCTCCTAACCCACGCACCACCACCACCATCACCAACGGAAGGTAAAGCACGACAATATTATATATATATATATCACGTATTGTGATTTCTAGCTCGTAGTGAAAAAATATATTTATTTGAATATCTCGCAAAAAGTTAAATGAACTGAACTTTGAACTAGTTCAGAATTAAAATTGAGAACTTCGAACGTGAACTGTTCACTTTGAGCATGTATGAACTGAACTTGAACTAGTTCAGAAAAGCTGTGAACTGGCACAACACTGGCCAAAGCTTTACTGTCATTGGGCCAGAGCAAAATTAAACAAATGTGACGTCACACGTCGGCTACACAGCCAGGCCAGCCTAGCAGTGCACCCAGTGTAGCCTCCCCGGTTGAAATGAGTGGTCTCTCCAACTGATGGTTCATACACGTTTTTATTTTTCCTTTTATATGAGCTGTAACGATGTGATTTTACCTTACTACTTTTTTAACAATAATTGATTAGCTTGTTATAGTTATACACTAATGAACACTTAGTTCATTGTGTGTGTGTGTGTGTGTGTGTCTTTATTCTCACTAAACTCCATAAACGTTACGTTGCTAAGCAACGTACAACAATCCTTAAACGTCCGAGATTATATAAACAGTAAATATAAAAAAAAATAAAGAAAACAAAAGTTTTGACAGTCAATCTTAAAACTATTAAAAGAACATCAAAATACAATGACAAAAACCCAAATTTAGAACCTTGTTTGGCCTGAATGGATGAAAAGCTCCCGGCCTGAAATGTTGTCCCACTCCGGCCCTGTACAGAGGTATGGACCTGACAGTAAAGTTTGGATTGGATTTCTCGCTTGCTTGCGTTTCAGAATCTCTCGAAAGATGGCTCGACAAATGCACGGACGAGTACAAATGTCTGTCTCTTTGTGTGATAAAGATTACAGATACTTAATATTTGTTTTGGTATTGCTCTACTGTATCATTGTGTTTTAAGACCGATTTTGTAACGGTTTTGTCGAGGGATTTTAAAGATGGTAGCAACTGTGTGAATTTAGTTATGGCTCTGAGGAAACGTTTAATTTTTAAGGCCACAAATGTACTTTCACTTAACATACAGTATGTCAAAAACTGGATTCTTCATTCCTTAATATGGGAAGAATACAAGATTGAAACAGATTAAAAAGTAAAAAAATACACTAAACTCTTTGGGACACGATTAGCTTTGATAATTGTCTGCGGTCGTGACCTACGGAAACGCAGGTGTATGTTTTACTGCATTAGATGTATGCACAGGCTTTGTAATTACTTTATTTTGTGTTTGTATATTTTTTTTATGTCTTGTTTTCAATTTTTCCAATATTTTTTTCAATGTTTTCAATGTTTCTGATATTTTTTCAATGTTTTCATTTTTCGGATTTTTTTTCAATGTTTTCATTTTTCAGATTTTTTTTCAATGTTTTCAATTTGTCCCATTTTTTCAATGTTTTAAATGTTTCTTTTTTTTGAAGTTTTTGTTGTTGTCATGTTTGTTAAGATTAAGATTGAGAGATCCTTTATTCGTCCCGCATTGGGGAAATTTCAGTGTTGCATCACAAGTTATAGAACAGAGGAGCACATGGCACAAGTTAGGTTAACAATAGCTATACTAATAAAAATAAAAATAAATCTCTAACTCTGGCATCAATAACAAGTATTTTTCTGTTTTCTGCGTTTCTGTTTTATGTCGTGTTCTTGTCGTAGCCTGGGAGAGCACAGAGAGAGAGAGAGCCTAAAATTACATTAAAAACAAGCACACCGTATGTTTGTTTAAACTCATAAATATAACTGCTTTAAATTGTGACGGGGAGAATAGCTATTTATTGATTTAATTATTTCACTCGTGGACATGACAATACATCACATTTTACGATTACATTTCAAATAACTGTAGTCCTGTCACACAAACGACAAGGAGCAGAGAGAAGATTTACATTCACTTAATCCCAAACAGAAAACAATGCACCGTGTTAAAGATAATATCTGTTCTTCAGTCAGAATATTTAGTTTATTATATGTATTTCCTCCGCTCCTCGACCGCACACACCGAGTTCTGATAAAGCCGTATCAGCGCAGACAGGAAATAGGATTCGGGGTGAGAAGTACATAAATTGCGAGTGGAGCAGCTAATTTAAGAGCGATTACATTAATTTCAATGACATCCATTTGATGAGGACGAGGACGACGCAGGCCTAATGTGGCTCTGTGGCTCCCAGATAAGGGGGCCGTCGATTGGACCCCACTTCATCGTGAAAAAGGCCATAATCCGAGTCCGTTTCTCACCGCGTCTGACAGATCTATTCACTCTGGATTTCATGTTTGGCTTGTGTCCAAGTTAATGATTCAATAAACTGACCTGAAGCTGCAGGGAGGACGGGACACGGAGACGTTTGAAGAATTCATGTGAGTCAAATTTGACCTCGACTGAGGATATTGTCGGGCGGTGGAAGGAATACTTCGAGGTTCTCCTCAATCCCCCCGTCACGTCCTCCGTTCAGGAGGCAGAGGCTGAGGATGTTGGGGCAGACACTTCCATCTCCCTGGCCGAGGTCACCAAGGTGGTTGGCAGCCTCCATGGTGGCAAGGCGCCGGGAGTGGATGAGATCCGTCCTGACTATCTAAAGTCTCTGGATGTTGTAGGACTGTCTTGGCTGACACGTCTCTGCAACATCGCGTGGCGATCGGGGGCGGTGCCAATGGAGTGGCAGACCGGGGTGGTGGTCCCTCTCTACAAGAAGGGGGACCGGAGGGTGTGTTCCAATTATCGTGGGATCACACTCCTCAGCCTCCCCGGTAAGGTCTACTCCAAGGTACTGGAGAGGAGGCTACGTTCGATGGTCGAATCTCGGATTCAGGAGGAGCAGTGTGGTTTTCGTCCCGGTCGCGGAACACTGGACCAGCTCTATACTCTCCATCGGATACTCGAGGGTTCATGGGAGTTCGCCCAACCTGTCCACATGTGCTTTGTGGATTTGGAGAAGGCGTTCGACCGTGTTCCCCGGGGTGTCTTTTGGGGGGTCCTCCGGGAGTACGGGGTCCGGGGTCCTCTGCTGAGGGCCGTCTGGTCCCTGTATGACCGGAGCCAGAGCTGTGTTCGCATTGCCGGCAGTAAGTCAGACCTGTTCCCGGTGCATGTTGGCCTCCGCCAAGGCTGCCCTTTCTCACCGGTTCTGTTCACTGTATTTATGGACAGAATTTCTAGGCGCAGCCAGGGGCCGGAGGGGGTCCGGTTCGGGAACCACAGGATTTCATCCCTCCTTTTGCGGATGATGTCGTCCTGTTGGCTCCAACGAACCAGGACCTGCAGCATGCACTGGGACGGTTTGCAGCCGAGTGCGAAGCGGCTGGGATGAGAATCAGCACCTCCAAATCCGAGGCCATGGTGCTCGACCGGAAAAAGGTGCCTTGCCCTCTCCAGGTGGGTGGAGAGGTCCTTCCTCAAGTGGAGGAGTTCAAGTATCTCGGGGTCTTGTTCACGA